CCAGCCACCGCAGCCTCGACCTGCTGGGCTCCGGCGATCCTTCCGCCTCAGCCTCCCAAATAGCTGGAACTACAGGCATGTGCCACCATGCCCGGATTTTTTTTTTTGATTTATTGTAGAAATGAGGTCTCACCAAGTTGCTCAGGCTGTTTTCTGAAGTTCCCTGGTGGTCCCTGTTGAGAACCACCATTTGTAACTAGTACAGGGGTCCTGTCCCTCTCCGGCCAGTAGGTGGCAAAGTGCAGAGACGCACAGAACACGGGAGGCTTCCCGGAGGCGTCCATCCCAGGTGCCCCTTGAAGCTTTGGGCCCCCTGACCCAGGGAGGAGCTGCCAGGAACACTGCTGAGGTCTGTTCAGGACCCCGGCCCCACCCTCTCCCTCCAGCTGTGCTGAGGTGTTGTCTCTGGTAGGAGCTTTGGGGTAGAAAGTGGGGTAACAAGGAACAGGATTTTTCATCTAAAGGGGCAAAAAGCCACATGATGTAAGAAAGGAAGAAAAGCAGCGACTCCCCGGGGCAGGAGTGGAAGGCTGTAGAGAGGCAGCCCGGGAGAGGAACAGTACCGATCCTACCCATGGAGGGCCACTCCCGGGCAGGGTGCTTGCCGGCCGCACAGAAAGAGCTGGAATTCTGCAGGTCAGGCTGAGTCCGAGGGTCAGCCAGGGTGACAGCCGGGTGCCCGGCCCCAGGACGGGGTCTGGGAAGGATCTGGAGGGATACGCGTGTCTAAGGTCTAGAACACAACAAACCCACCCTCGACGTCTGACAGACATTGGGAGATCAGTTTGAGTCAACGGGGACTCCAACCCCTCCCGGAATGTCACGTCCTTACAGTGAGACTCAGGAACCAGAGGGTGTCAAGGGCGAAGTCAGCTCGTTAGAAGACAACCTTTCCTCCGGACAGGAAAAGTAAAACTGCTCACGGTCGGAACGGGCTACCAGAGGGTGTTCCCGGGAGGGCAGGAGTCTGCAGGCCTGGGTTCTGGTCCTGGCTGAGCCCTGGCTGACCATGTGACTGTGGACCCTCGGCCTCTCTAAGCCTCCGCTGCTTCTTCTGTAATTGGGGGCACTGGACGGGAATCCCTCTGAGGTCCCTTCCACGTGGTTAAACCGTCCCTGTTGGTATCAGGGAACAACCTTCTGCCAAGACACTTCCGGCAAGGTGCTGGCTGTCACTCAAGCCGCTGGAAATGCCTAAGTCAGCAGAGACCACCGGAGGGGGCACGAGGAGGAGG